AAATCAGGTACACAATTAATTGTTGAGATATTTTTAAAACGTGTATAAAGAAGAGAGTGTATGATTATGTACGTGCAAAAAATCGAATATATAAAAATCAATGTTTGTTTGATTGTTTGTATTGTATACGCTGCCGTACCGTTCATCTGATTGCGATAAAACTGTGACAACGTATTGCAACACTTGCGCCAAGAATATAGGCATAGTATAATGGGAATGTATGTCTGTCGCAGATAGACGCACGTTGACGACGATTTTATGCGTTTATTCTTATTCAAGCGTCCCTGAACAGAACCTCTATGCAACCCGCCACACCCTCAAGTATTAAGCGTGTCTTCGCTGCATATTCTGCCTCTGTGTGTGAAATATCGGTCGTAATTATTATTTTAACGTTATCTCGGACACGTAAATTAAATTTCTAGAGAGGTAGGACAAATAAATAGAGAGTTTTGCAAGGCGTGAATTTGAAAGATGTAACACGACAATTATGGAACGAAAGTTACTGCGCATGCGTGGGTATCACATGCCGGGATTTCGTCACACTCCCTGTTTTGTCGTCTACGTCTTGTGTTCGTAACTTACACTTAACGTCGTTTTTGCCGATACCACTAAACACGAATTAAACACTAACAAAAAATGAGAATGGAAGTAATGAAAAATACAATATCCATAGTTCCAATACATTATCGCAGGAACTTCATGGTTCCTTTTTTCTCAAGTTAATTCAAATATGTCACGTTTAAACTAACGTAATTGTTTACCATTTGGAGGTTATATATACATTGAGGTTACATTTGTCACAAAAAATATTTATCCACAGAGCGTTATAAATACTATACACTTCCCATTCCTAATATGAATAATAGAAATGTGTTGTAGTAAAATGGAGAGGTTACATTCTAATACTATTTAAGAAGCTATAGTTTTTTATTGGAGTTAAAGGCAAGCATTACAAATTAGTACGATAAATCAGATTTGATATATTATACGTTTTACTGTCTCGTAATGCTTATAAAAGCAAAAATAGACTCAGAGATACACAGATGTTCAATAAAAGCTTTTAGATCTTGTTAGAGGTATTCAATTCCAGTTAATTCCTTGTTTTAAAACATTTTTCGATTTTACGACATGCAAAAACTAATCTTTCTGTAGATACGTTATTTCCTTTTGACGATAATGTTTACATACTACGACAATGGATTTCCCTTCTTGCAATATCTCTCTAGTTTCATAGCGAATGCATGCCCAAGTTTGACGGAAAACATTTTATCAATAGAATGCTTGACAACCAGGTCCAAACCAAAGCATAGAACAAACTCAAACGCGAGAGAAATTATTTCATCTATTAAATTTTTGTAGAGCGTAGCATAAAATGTGATTAATGTAATAAAATGTGACCAGTAGCGTGTGAAGTGTAATACATTGCAATTGCAAATCAATGCCGATTCCACTAGTTAGACTAAAAACCAATACATGCTACATTTAATGGTGGTGAATTCTTTTTGTAATAAAGATGTGGTACCACTTCGCTTCAATATTTTGCTCATTTTAATGGAAACAAATAAAATGGAATCCAAAAATAATATTAAGAAGTAAGCAAGCAAAAACTACTTGTGGAAAATTATTACTACCTGTCTGTCTATGGGCTGTAAACAACCCTAGCGCCCAAAAACGATGCGTAGGATGACTTCAAGTTTCTTTGTTGTTGTTGTTGTTGTTGTAAAAGAGAGCAAAATGCATCACTTAAATGATGACTAGGGCTGTGATTTATATGCATTTGCATATTTTTTCTGTTAACTAAAACATCCCATTTCAACAAATTGTATACGTTTTAAGGTATTTAGAATCAATTTAAGCTATTTTCATCTCCATATTTTCGCATATATCACCATAATTGCATATTTGAGCCATATTAGCATGTTTTTGTGACAAATCACCCCTCACCCGCGAAAAATAAGCCCGAAAAGTTGCAGTTCCGTCAGCGTGTAAGCGGCTCTGGCAGCTCTCTCGTCACTTGCCGTGGTACATCATAAGTCCTGCTCTGAAGCAATGGCCCGCACGGCGCAAACGTGGAGTGGTGTCAACAGAGTCAGACCCGTGAATTTGTCGTGAATTGACAGGAAGTAATATTTTTGTTGCATTACCTACATTTTTTATTTTGTAAAATGTACATTAACTGCTTCTCCCATTATTTTCCTCAAAAATGAGTGTTCTTCAAATTGAAGCCCTTGACCTTATGTTTGTCGCTTATAACAATTATAAGATTTCTGTATCTTCTTTGCAGTAAACATTTTTTCCACATTACACTTTTTAGCTATTTTTTACACTTGCACATTACATTACACTATTTCGCATATTTTCCTTTTTTAATTGCATATATTACCAAATATGTTTACATATATACTTATATTTAGGCCTAATGATGACCTATGTCCCTTTTCAATGTGTACCCTGAATTGTCGAAAATTTGAAAAAGTGAAATTTCTTCTCGTTCAACTACAAAAATTAATACAGAGATTTTTCCTTCAAATAAAAATAATTCGTTCTTTCATTAACGTTATGCACATTTTTTTGAAAATTTTAGACGATTTTGCGCAATAATGGGTGAAGTGTGTGCAATAATAAAAAATACCAAAAACAAGAATTCTCAAAAACGTCTCCACTTTTTCTGAGGGGATAGAACTAAATCACAGAAACATGACATAAACGCCATTTTGCTACATTTTGTTGTTTTTTCAAAATTGACATAGGAAATTTTTGACATCTCTCTCTGAATACACTACTGCATTTATAAATACATGTTTCAAGTGCTAATTAATTTTTTATGTGAAATGAGCTCAAAATTCCGCATTTATGACACACTCCAATGCCATTTTCTCGAAAACGGCCCCACAATTTTTCTTTTAATTTTTTGAACGCACAGTGATAAATGAACTAAATAACAAATATAATGCCACTTTGATATATCCCTTTGTTTTTATCAAAAATTTCACAAATGTATTTTTATAAAATATTTCTCACGCCTTTAATATTGATATTACCAGCCCTTTACATCCTTTATTACATTTGTTCATTTTCAAAATTGTCATATAGGACGACCTCCTACTCTTCTATAATATTCTTAAAATTATGGTTCTATCATTAGGGGGCTGCAGAATTGATAAAATGTGAAAATTTTACTTTGGAGGCAATAGATGATAGCTGGGAAGAGGGAGGGGCAAAACCGTAAAGCTACTTTAGACCACAGAAATTTTTAAAACGAATTAGCACGAGAATATGTGTGCCATTGTGTATCATCATCACTACTTCTCCGCTTTGCATTGGGAAACGGCGCCGTATTGGTGGGATTGGCCGAACGGGCGCGGTCGGCACGTGGACGGGGAGGCACAGGGCTGGGCTGGAAATGGAAGGAAGAGGACAGTTGGGCAGAGCTGGCGACAATTTGCATAAAATTGCTTACATTTTACATTATATGGAGAAACAACGCTTTTCTTGACTAACAGTTGATTGTGTTACTTACATTTTACATTATATGGAGAAACAACGCTTACATAGGCAGTGTGTGGGTGCTTCATATTCTTTAATTGTTGAAGCGGTGTGTTTTTGCGTATTTTCTTCGGGGAATTTCTTCTTTGGTTCTACCCAATCTCCAAACAAAAGAATGTTATTGAAATGGACTGTCACGGCGCGGAAATATTATATAATTCCGGGATCCTATCCCGGGGCCTTGTTTTTTCACATTGATGCTTTTCCTTCTGACCGCCGGATGTGGCTTAGGGCATCGATTGATACCTCTCACCGGGAGGTCCTAGGATTCGAGTCCCGACGCTTGCAGGGTTTCCACACTAGCTAGATAGCTCGCTCTGATTGGTTGTTTTCCTTGGACCCTCCAATCAACATCTGACGAATGTCCGAGAAATACCCTAACAAACGGGCCACGGACCTTCCTTGTCCTATCCTCACCCCTTGCACACACTCTTACACATTCTACACTACCACATGTTTGGAGACCAGTCGGAATCGTAGTGCTCGTCTCGTCTGAAGCAGCGCCCCAATGATGGGAGCTACCTGGTTGGGGAAATCTCCGCAAACTAACGGGTATGACGGCACCGGATGTCGCCAATCGGCGAGGGAAATATCACGCCCCCCCCCCGATAAAAATTGCACTAATGACCTTAGCATTTGATGTGCCCGGAATCACTAATCATTCAATTTACCGTCTGACGTATAGAATCAAACATTGTCTTCATGGTAAATTAACAATCTTATAGGGATCGTCGTAGTATATTTGATCACTCATTAGCCAAATTGTGCCATGTACGAGAAATGATTATTTTTAATACCAAAAGGAAATGCTTTATTTTAAAATCACGAAAACTTCCGGTCGACTTGACCACTAGTCTCTAGGCTTCTCAAGACAACTCAGACACGCATGTTGGCGTGCGTGAGAAAACCAGAACTGTATTCCTTCGCACACTGACTCATTCTCAGGACCTTGACCGACGGCAGAGTCGCGCCTCGCGCCGGAGTTCCCAGCGGCGGGAACCGGAATCCGGCTGCGAACCGCAAGATCTGCAATTGAGATCGAGGCAGGTCATCGCGGATGATACAACACTATTTTTTTTAAAGTCTTCTGTCTCAAGGCGAATTTGTGTCACAGCCGAAGCCCTCCCGTGCGTCGCAGGAACGTTTTCGGCACGTTCTTTCTGGAATACTTTACCGTTTCTTTCTTTAAGGTCGCTGGCTCACTAATTTAACAGGTACATCGCCCAACCCCTTGTTTCTGAATATGCTGCTTACGTAACGAATTTGATCTCTGTTTGTATGCGTTTGACTTAATGGAGGGTTTAATTTAATCAAAAACGCGTGGCGTTCCAGGGAACTATACCGTACTATCAGCGGTGAGCGGTCGGGGATTTTTCGCACGGAAAAAATCCGTCAACTTTGGCTAGTACTCAACCCACATGATCTGGAATTAGTACTCTATCGAACACGATTAAATGGGTTTGAGTACTGTATGTTGAAAGTAGTGTAATATCCATGTAACTGTGTAGACGGTAGTCGAAGAAACAATCATTTTTCCGGTAAAATTAAACCTGTGCCTTAGTGTATGTTTGGGTGGTCTACTTCATTTTTTTTTGGTTTAACACGGGATTCTCTCGTAAATATAGCAAACTACATGAACATAGGTTTACATGGTTGAACTGGTAAATTAAAATATATGGATGTAGAGCGCTGAAGTCAATGAAAATGCATGTTTTTTTAGAGCATCACTGTTAATCAAAGGAAGTTTAATTAGGAAGAAAAATGTGTAAACTTATATCACAAATTAAATATAATGAGAGGGATATCGAAATTACATCGCTATACGACCACCCTAGGCAGAAGTCCCAAACCGATTGACATTTGTAACTTCAAGTATCTTACGACTGTTATCTCTTTAGTGAGTTTTCCGTTGATCAGCGACTTATGGAGCGTTAGCTGGTTCCTTATATATTTTGTAAAATTAATTAATATTCCTGGAAAATCATGATTCAGTTGTCTGGACGTGTTCACCAATCGGTAATCACCAACCGGTGAAAAGGCGAAATTTAAGAATTTTAGCAAATATATCCACCTAATGAAGGATTTTTGTTCCAGGTGAAGGTGCGAAGAGAAGATGACAGCGACAGCATCGAGCAAACCGTGGAAGGGGAGACAAGAGACGACATAGGTAAATGCTGTAACGTTGTGAATGATGAATCGGTTCGAGAAATCGAACGGTATTTGTTAAGCTCATACACCGATTGCAACGGAGCGTACCCCAACCTACGCCTGGTTTCTCAAGCCCCTTAAATGGCCTAATTCCATTTTGGCGTTGGGCTTTCAAGTGCCCGGAAGCTCAAAAAATTCAAATTGCGGAGGTTCTTCTTTCTTATTTTTCGATTTACAACAACAAAAAAAAACGTCATGGGATATATCGTGGTATGAAATGCAACGCGCCGCATGGGTGGGTAGATGCGCCGTTTACTGATTGTCCAGGGCTCGAGTGTCAATCCATTGTGCACAAGAAAAGCATCAGAAAGGTTTAACAGTACTCGAAAACTGCAAAACGTCGGATTTTGTTTCTTTCCTGACATTCCCTTTATGATTTAACAGGTAAATTATCGCCATAAGTGTAGATTTAAAGGTCAAAATGAATTAATAAACATCGTGCAGTTCGAGTTATTGATGTTATTTTTCGAAAGGGGAAGAAGTTCTTGGGAATTCGAGATGTCGAGATGAATACGAAAATGATGACGAAAAATTGGGAAATATTGAGATATGTGAGTGATTGATAATTCAGGGCGTGTGGTCCCGCCCATAAAGTGCGTCTTTTTATCGCGGGAAGTCCTTCGCTGGTCGGTGACATCCGGCGCCAACCAGGTGTCTCCCACCAACGGGTCACCGCCCCAATCGGGACATGCTCTATGCTGCCGTCGTAGGTGGTAGAGTAGTGCAAGTAAGAGTAAGGTAACGGTGAGGATAGGGCAAGGAAAAGGAGTAAAAGATCGCTCTTGGTTCGTGGCCTGTTTGTTAGGGTACAGTACTGCTACCACTTTCGTCTGGCGTTGATCGGAGAAACCGCGGAAAACTACCAATCAGAGCAGCCGGACGCTAGAATTCTCCTCCAGATAGCGGTTGAATTTGACCACTTAACAAGCTCCTGTCGAAAATCCTACCACTGTTGGAACTCGAACCCTAGGACAGCGGCTGGTGGTACTGGTACTGGACTGTGGTACCCAAGTTGACGGGTTCAAACCCGATCGAAGCCGTGGATTTATAAGGGCGAAAAAAATCCTTCGTACGCCTCCCTTCGGAGGGGAAGTAAAGCCAGCTGTCCCATGTTCGTAGATTCACTTGCATGTAAAAGATCCTCAAGCCTAAATGACGCCTCTGAGCTAAATTCAAATCGCCTGTTTCTCGCCCAAGAAATACCTCCTTTCTCTGCTAGTAGGTGAAAGGAGCGTAGCGAAATTTGCGTGGTCAGACGGAAGAGCGGCCCTGATTGCCCGAGTCTCGCCACGTAAAATAAAGCAAATTCAATTCAGTGCAGGACCTCCCAGCCAGACACACTGATCCCCTTGAGCCGCCTAAGGCGATTGTCATTTTCGAGATGTCGACGACTAAGAGCGAGAGACTAGTATATTCCCCCCGGCGTGTGCCCCTGCGCAGCGTCCAGCCCGCCGGAGGACGTGCACTGCGCGGGCGTGCGGGCGCGCGACGCCACCGCGCGCTGGCTGCCGCCGCGCCGCCCCGGAGGCCGCCTCGCCGCCGCCGTGGTGCAGGTGCGCCCGCGCGCCGACCCGGCCGCGGCCTCCATCACCCTCCACCAGAGCGCAGCCCTGCGCGCGGAGTACAGCCAGCCGGTGAGACCAAGCTCCTTTTACTTTCTCCTCTATATTTTACCATGTATCGAGGAATGATGCTGGATAAGTAGGCTTCGGGTCTCCACTTCGTACTTTACATGAAGCCCTCCGACGTTTAAAAAATGGCTCAAATTGCATTTTTTGAGCCATGTATTAATAGAGGTGATCTTCGTCCCAACAACATTTCGTTTAGTAATGACTTTTATATCTGTAATAACTGACCTACTGAATTTAAAAATTGTTATTTATGTGACGAGTGGTAAAAATGACATTTTATTTGGCGAATAAGAAAGGTGTTCTTAGCACTGTACTTTTACTAGTGTCTGTCTAAAAAAATATTGGGTAGCCCCTCTATATTTTCATGCTTCGGGCCCTGATGCGTGTTGGTGTCCCTTGAGAGACCTTGTATGTCATAGAAGAGAAGGTGGAAACAATTAAAATTTAGACATTTTAAGGCAAGGGATCTATTCAGGAGGAGGTGTACTGATTGCCAATTGAAGTTTGCATTATGAATTTAGTACTGTCGATAAAGAATGTTGGGGAAATTACGCAAATGTTGTTTACTGTGTCCACTAAAGTTGCTTTTGCTTTAGGTGTGAATAAAAATATCTGCAACCATCGCATCAAATAAAAATAGTAGCAGAAAAATAGTTTTATTTTGTGGATATAGGAGGTAGGCATAAGATGAAGCTGGATCATATTGTGACAACCAATCCCACCTGGAAAGTGCTAACCAGTTCCAAACGGAATTTTTTATTAAAGATGAACATAGAGTTGACAAGGGAATTAAAAACAAAACAAAAATACTATACACTTTCTCCTCTACCCCGTATCGAGGAATGATGTTGGATAAGTAGGCTTCCGGGTCTCTAGTTTGAAGGTTTCAGATGTAAGAAAGGGAAAGAAGCAAGATATTTATTTTTCAACATTAGAGACGACATCCGAACCATGAAATATTACTCTCCAAGCTCTAAACCACAATTGAGACCACCGTTGCACTAATCGTACTGAGACTTCTGTGGGAAGTTAATTAGGTTGTGAAGGACACGTGACTCAAAGCCAGCTATTATGGAAAGTGCGTGACGGATGTAGGAACGCGACTGCTAACCAACCCTATGCGCATCCTGAGCCACGGTGTGTGTGTGTCTGTTGCAGATGACCAACCTGCAGCCCAACACGCGCTACAGCGTGTGCGTGTGGTTCGTGACGGAGGCGGGCGACGGGCGCGCGGTGGACGGGGCGCGAGCGTGCGTGGACCTGTGGACGCCCCCGGAGTGCGGCGGCGGCAAGCGTGGGGCGGCGGGGGCGGGGGCGGGGCTGGGACTGGTGGCGGTCGCGCGGGCGGAGGCGGAGGCGCGCGGCGGCGCGGGCGACCTCTGGATCTGGCTGGCCGCCCTCGCGCTCGCCCTCGTGCTCCTGCCCGTCGCCTTCTTCCTGGGCAGGTGAGCCACCGCCCGCTTCTTCGTACCTTAACCCTTTGACGCGTAAGGGACAAAGAAACTACTCGTACTTTTTGGCTTGCCACATCAAATTCATTTTAAAAAATAACATCAGGTATGCAAACAAACATTAAAAGCTCCTTTTAATGCATAGAGGGACAAATGTGTCATAAATTTTGAAAGCCATTTTTCGAGAACTAAAAGTTGTAAAATTTAAAAATAAACATACGTTCTTCTTTCTGCATATTTAATCTTTTTTCAAAGAAACCAATTTTACGTAGACATTTTCTTCATACGCGTTAAAGGGTTATAATGCGTTCATACGGAGCCACAGTGCGCCATAGCGACAATCTCACTAGGATAAATACCTCCATTTAAACCAATGCTTTGCCAGCAGACGTACCACTCGGAAGTGTTGATGAGGGGCGCCGTGTAAAGGAGCTCTTAAGGTGGAGTGCGTTTTAATAATACTGGTGGAAACCCATGCGATTAAATCTCAAGGGAATTTAAAGCACAATCCTTTTAGTTGTTCGGGTATTTATTTACATTACTCATCTATTCAGGCAGGAAATGGAATGCATTCTGTCTATCGTATACCCTCTCTCTAGTCTGGTACGGTGTAACCTGCTCGGTCCTGCTCTGCCCTAGCCTTCTCTGGCCTTTTCAAACCCACCCTATACCTTGCCTGCGTCCTCGCTCTGGGCCGCCTGACACTGATACTACCCGCCTTACCACCAGGTTGTGCGAAGTGTCGACAATTCAATTTTTTCATATTAATGTTTTTATAACATACACAAAATTACAGGCAATATGTATCAAGAGACTACCAGCATTTTATATATATATATATATATATATATATATATATATATATATATATATATATATATATGCTTCCAGCTTCCAGTTTTCCAAGACTTCCAGTTTTTAAATGAGACCATATTTGCTGCAATTGACTGAATAGTTCACCCGGAAAAGGACGTTTTACATAGGGCCATCCATAAATTACGTAACGCAAATTTGGAGTACTTTGAATACCCCCTCCCCCTGTAACGCATCCGTAATGCGCACTTAAACTCCCCTATAATAATTACATAAACGCTTGTGGCAAGACCTCCTCCCCAATTACAATACGTAAAAATGAGTTTTAAAGCGGAAACGAGTTGTATTTATTGCATTTGTCTTATAGATAACAATTATGATTATTAAATTGAGAATTAGTTGTTGGTGTGGACTGCGTATGTAATAATAGGATTGGGGGCAATTCTTGATTGAAAGACGCGTAGAAAATGTAATGTAGTATGCGAGAAAATGTCTGCCAAGCCGTGCACATGCTGTCGTGGATAACGCACAGGCTCCGCGTCCAAGCGCTGAATTTAACTGGATTTTAGAATACATTATAGATCAGTTTTGAATATTTACTTCGTAATATAAAAGATTCAATCCCTGAAAAATATTCCATTTATTGTTACAATTTATACAACATACTTCTTTAATGTAATATATTTTTAAATTAATTTGTTAATATGTTTTGTTTTAGTTATAAGACTGATAAAAGGAATTATGTTCAGAAATGTTGAAAGATTTTAAAACTAAATATCAGCATTACTTAAACTAAATAATGACCCTCTATCCCTATGTAACGCAAATTTGAGGTACTTTGAACTTTCACTCTCCCCCGGAATGTTTATCACCGTTACCATGCACGCATTAAACCTCGTGGCTCCCAAATGAAGATATTTTTCTAGTGCATGTGTGTAGAGTTATGTTGTGGTCTATGTAAATAATACAGGCCAGAGGTTTACTTGGGCTACTTGGACATGATGTTTGAGGAGTCTGAGGGTGCTCTTTACAGAGAATTGTTCCCCAGAGAGCAATAGACACTGCGAAAGGCCCTGACGCCGATCGATCGCATCTGGTAAGAGGGTAATACCGAAAAGGTAGCCCCGTCTCCAAGTAAAGGCGAACTAATTAGTGACAGAAAGTGTGTGCCGTTTTGAAGCACTCGTAGTTTAACATATTTATGTATTTAGAGTATTATAGAACTGTTGCATGAAATATTTTGTTATACTAATTTTAAAAAATCAATAATTTAAAATTATAATACATACAAAATTATAATACAAGACAACATAGAGACAATTTAAAGTAAGAAAAATGAAATTTTGAAATATATATTTGTGATTTTAGGAGTGGCTGTCGCAAGGAGACAACACCTGATGAGAAAATGAAAGGCAGCTGCTCCACGAAACTGAAATGTAAGTGTATTCAAACGTTTCTTTAAATTTTTGTTGAATTGTTTCATACATCGTAGAGTGGTTCATGCTCATTGAATGAGCATGAACCACTCTATTCTTCCGAATGACTACGATGAATTCCCCGCGTGTAATGCCTATATTGCTTATTATCGTTCTCCCTTGGTGATACTTATAAAAATCCTACTTTCATTCTACTGCACTGAATGCTACCAACTCACTACTTTTTCTTCGCGTAATAAAATAGTCGTATGTGTGCGTCTTCATATTCTTACACAGCAGTTGTAGACAGCCTTCCAAAGTGTGGAAGTCTTCAGTCCCATTCTTTCACCATTTACTTCTATTTTATTTCTATCGACTGTGCATTCGTGTATGTCCTTAAATCTTCGTTTCTAATTGTGTATTTTCTAAGCCATTCTTTATCCTTCCTCAAAACCGTCTTTTTCGCTCTTGCCGCTGCATTCTGAGTAGAATCCAGATATCAAACCAAAGAGTATTCGTATATTCTCCATTTTAATGTTATAAATCGTACCCATAAATTCTAATTTATGGGGTATATTCTTTCTTAGCAATTATTCGGAGCATAAACAAACTTTTTTCATCAACAACCGTTTAATAATACCGATAATAGTTCACAAACAAAAAGTACCACTTTGTTTAGTACATAATGATCCTTCAATTCTGCGGTCGACTAGCATACGCAGTAAATACTCTTATCCATTTATCTTACGCAACCGTAGTTACTGAAAGCTGGCGACCTTTTAACTGGAATGGTGACAAGTGTGGCGAACAGAAACGGACAAAACAAAAATCTCTGTCTCTTTAAGTGTCCTGTTCATTGTCATTTGCAATGTTGATAGTACGTAATAGTGCTTTTGCATTTGCATTATTGGTTCCATCACTCATAGACGTTGACGTCGACGACCTGATTTGCTTGCACGATGAGTTGTCACATCATAGATTTCGCCCACTCGCCCGCTCACGGGGTTTGAATGACATGACGTCCAAACGTGAAACCAGCGTGGGTCTTACGTCATGTTATGAGTCGCAGAACCACGCCCAGTCGCAAACGGGAGGGCTCTAAAGAAACTCTACTCTCGGTTATATTTCTAAAATATTGATTTGTTGAAATCTCCCTGAATCAGCTTTCTTAGAAACACCAGTTGTGTACAGAAGAATCTGCATAAGAAAGAGCCAAAGTGACAAAGAGCTAAACAAATGAACATCACATGTAATTCGAAGTATCTCTCCGCCGCAAAAGCTGTTCAGCCACGCCTCGTCGTAAAGTGTTTATGTTTGTGTAGACATCATGGCTTCTCGTGGTTCACAACCGTGTATTTATATTTAAAAAAATGATAAACCGCAAAACACGGAACGTTCTCGATCACAGCTCGCCACCTTACCGCACAGGAGCAGGAAGCACGTGCATCACTACGCATCTGACATTCAAGACTGTTTTCAAATAAGCATAATACTTATCACACAAAAAGTAAATTAAATGTAATGTTTATAAAAAAGTTGTTTATAGAAGAGGACAGAAGAGACTCCCTAATTTCAATTATTACTCGTTGGGAACTATATTTTCGTCGGACATCACAAAAGGAAGCGTCAAAGCAATTTACAAGTTAGCCACCTGCAAACGGACGAATAAAGAAAGAAGAGTCAAATGGGCTAAAGGACACAAGAATCACAGAACCTTCAGTTATGTTGCCAGCACTAGCTGTCAAAACGCTCCATTCTTATAAAAATCGCTCTACGCGCAGAAGTATGTGATTAATTATTTCATGTTTCCGGGCACGTCAACTGATAAGGTCATTAGTCTGGCAAGTATAGTGATGTGCTTTCCTCACGGGAGGTGACGGTATTCTTCCCCCGCAGGGTGGTGAGATTCGGCGCCGACCTACACGCCGGCATCCCCGACTAGGTATCTCCCTCCAACGGGGCACCGCCGTTACCCTACTGCCGCACTCCTAATCTGCAATACAAGAATCTCTGTGTCTAAACGAGATAAAATAAAATTTGACACCAGGAGTGTTCGTTGTACAGTGTGATATTTTTTCGTGATGGTTTTTATGCGCTGCAACATGCAACTTAAAGAATCACAGAATTGATGCTACCCTCCATTTTTTCTGTACAATACTTTAGAGAAAACAACTAAATTGGAAATGGGAAATTGGACATGGGAAAATAATTGCTTTTCGTGAATGTCTGAAACAGCATGAATTCAGTTCTTATTTTTCGGTGTAAACTCTTAACAGTTCTCGAGCATGTTAACAGACATGTATGTTTCTCGGATGGATAAGAGCGTATTCGACAAAAAAAAGAAAGAAAGAAAGAAAGAAAGAAAGAAAGAAAGAAAGAAAAAGGGGGAAATATAAATGTATACTTCCACATAGATGACACCCATGTGACTGATAAACGGCAGTTCTTCCTTACGATTTGTGGAAAAGGGACTTTGCGACTAAATGGGGTGAACAACTAAAATATAATTAATTAAAGCTAGCCTTCAACCACGTCAGGAACCTCTTAATTTATCCAGGAAGTTATTTGCGTGGACTGATAATGTGAAGAACATTACATTACTATTATATTTTTAGCAATGTAACAGAACTGTTGCAAGTGGGATATAAAAATTTGTAAAAAAAAAGAAGAAGAAAAACAAACAGAAGGATAGAAGAAGCCAAAGAAGAGCTTTTAGAAGTCGGAAGGATATTCTCCATTCCATGCAGCAAAGGAAATAGTAATTTAATTAACTGAATTACATTCCTATAATTATTTCGTCCGTTTAATATATACTTTTTGATTTGATTATAATCGCCAATGAATTTCATTAGCACATGTACATGACACATTACACATGCTTCATTACTACATGTAGTTCATTAGAACACATAATATGTGAAGGGATATTTCTATTTTTACCCTTTTACTTTCTATTTCTATTATTTGTGAAAGTGTAGCGGTAGTAATTGTTTATTGCTGTTTTACACGTGCTTAGGGGTGATGCTCTGCCGATGCTCAGCAGAACAGCAAGTGAAAAATTCTATATTTAATTTATCAGAATGCTCGAAGAGTCCCACTTTCAAACTTACCAGAATTGTGTAGCGTACTAGTTGCTTTTAGTCCGTAGAAATTTAAACAATAAAAATAAAATAAGACATTCAAAATGCTTGGTTTCGTTAACAGGAATTGAGTGGATTTTCAAAATGGCTCTACTTACTTTTTTCTATATAAAACACTAGCTCGACTCATTTTGGAATACGCTTCTCCAATATAGTCACTATATGTTTTAAAAGAGAGAGCCTGAATCGAGTCAGTGCTGTAAAAATTTCTGAGGCGAATATCTTACCTACTAAATGAACCGATGTCAATTAACTATCATGACTTCTGCCCTTTATTGGAGAAACAGAATACTGTACAGGACAAAAGGGCTATTACTGATATGATATATCTTTTTAAAATTGTCAGTAGTATTGATCAGAGAAATCTAATTAATGAAACTACTTTCCCGATCCTTGCGTCGATCTCATATTTGTCACCGGAACGTAATGAGGACATCCGTAGGTAATAATAATAGTCCACATGCCCCTGGGATAAGGGAATAAATTTGAAATAAAAATTGATTATTTTGCTATCTCCCTGTCACTTTTCAAGGCCAAACTCTATAATTCAATTTGGTCGATTAATACATGAATGGCTACTACCTCTTCTAATAAAATTGTGTTGTTCTTGTTTTAATATTTTAATATTATATAATGACTTCCTCATTTTTGTGTCTGATTTTGTTTGTTTTACTTCTTATTTTGTGTCTTGTACTTTAACTGTGAACAAATTGTGTTATTACAGTATTATGTAATAATTTGTTTTTGCACCTTATTGGTATTTTGTGTCTTTCTTGTATTTTGTAGTTTTTGTATTCAGTAGCTCATACGTACTTTATAACTTGTTTAACACGTCGTGCGCGAAACGCAGTTTCTCGTGCTTGTTTTCCAAGTGCGAATCGGCTAATTTTTTGACAGGTGTGAAACACCGCAACGTGTGTGTGAAACATCTGTAACGATTTGCATGTCCTTCATCTTGACATCTTTGCTTATTATTTACAAACAATAGTCTTATAACACAGGCTAGAATCCATTTACTTTTCTACAAATGAAGTATTTGTAGTTATTTGATATTTAATTTATAATCATTTACTTCGCGGATTGCGTTTCGCTCACAGCTCGTGTTAAAAAATAGTGTATGCAATACGGGCACGAGGTAATTCCCGCTCTTGTCGCTTTGTCGTCCTCGACAAACTCGACTCATGCGTGAATCACCTGTTTCGCACCCTTGTTACGTAAACTACTATTTTCTTTCTCTAATGATAAGCTTTTATGAATCAAATTGTCTTGAACAAGAGTTATCACGCGCTTAAAAATAAATAAATAAATAAATAAATAAATAAATAAATAAATAAATAAATAAATAAATAAATAAA